TATATATATATATATATCACTGCACAAAGGCAGTAGTCTGCCTCGTGAATGTCCCATAGAATTTATCAAAGTCTGATCGATACTTTGGGACATACTGGAGATTCTAATGAAAGTGGTAATATTATGTGCACTGAATACGTAACATGAATGAAGCACAAATATACCGTATTTTACAAAATAGGGTCAAGCAATGAACAAAGAGTTTGTAAGGAATCGGAAACTGTAAGTGGAACAGATCTTTACAAATGCTTTCGTTAAAATTGGCACGGTATATCCGGCTCAATAAATGGTATGTTATGAGTTTTGAGATTACAAAAATAAACCAAGAATATGCTTGAACTAATAGGCACAATACGGTTTCAGCCCATATAATTACACATTCTGATAAATTTATGAAGCATAAAAAACGAGAGTTATCTTCCCAATCGAGAAAGTTAATCGAAAATACTTGAATGATATCCGGATACGATTTTACTGAACCATATCTTATGGTGGCCAAAGAGGTGAACATTAAGGGCAGGCCTCAAGACCACGGATATTCTACGACGCATTAACAATACCGATTTGAAAGCAATAACTGCTCGTACTGACATGTATACAAACAACTGCATATATAATAAAGTGTGCCACTGAATTAAGTGAATGGTTTGTACAAGAAATTCATCAATATTGTCATGCCCTCTCATCAACATTTTCCACATCCACAATTTCATCATCTTCATCAGTCATCATTTTTCGTTCATTGTTTTGCTTCGAACACTGTTGATAGTCACTTAACATTTTTGCAGTCGTTTCGTGAACCATATCAGATTTGCACAAATCATCCGTAAGTGCTGATGCTGTTTCACAACTAGCAAAGCTGTTCAGCCGTAACAGCTGATCTGCAGCAGATTTGATAGTTGATACGGCACTACAGCTCGACGTTGATGAATCCGTAGGACTTGGTGTTCGAAACCTCTCGACAGTTGTTGGCATATTGAAAGTTGCTTCTGTCAGATTATTATCAGCGAGAGCAAACGATTTCTCGTCCGATGTGACATTAGAAGCATTCAAGTTGAGCTGCTCAACGGAAACATTTTCTGCATCTGCTAATGATGGAGCTGTGCTACGAATAAGCTGTTCGTTTGAAATTGTGGAATAGTTGTTGCATTGCGAGAGTGCAATACGACTTCCAATGGCACCGGATAAAGCAGCCAAATTGGTCAATGAAAGCTGAAAAGAATTGAAATTCAGTTCGTCCTCAAATTAATGATGAGTCATTTTCATAATTATTCACTTAAAGATTCGGTGTGCCATGAGATTGGTACAAACATTATTCAAATAAAATCTGATTAAAGGTAATGTCATTGCTTCAATTTTTGAACTTTTATTCAATGCCCAATATTTCCGAAGAAATATATTTACAATAAGGTATTCGTTCCGAAAAGAGAATTATTTCTGCGCTAGGAGGAAATCTAGGTTGTTGAGAAGGAATTGAGGGGTAATAATTTAATGCTGCAGAAAGTTGTCAGCTACAATGAGCTCTTGTTGTGCAATACGTTTGTGGGAATGATGATGCCGAAGCAATGCATGGACGGAACCACTGGTGTATTTGATGAATCAATCGAAAGATGAATGATTCCAGAAAATTTACCATGGAAGTTACATCAGATGATTGCTGCTTGAGTGCGAGTAACGCATTAAGGCCGCCGAATACGCCTTGATATGGTATATGAGATAGCTGAAAGTTGCGTTCTTTAAAGTCGATTTTGGCCAACAAAATAAGATAAGAGCAACAGATTGGTTTAGTTTTTGTTGTTGACCATAATGACCATTTGACCAAGTCACTATACTATTACATATAATGTTAATAATGCTTCTTTCATCTAACACAATGTGCATCTGATCGTGAGTAGACTTTTTGAAGAGACAGAAAAATTGTGAATAGCGATAAGATGGTAATAATTGTCGACTCTCGAACAAATGATTAGGCAAGAAGGAAGCAATAAAATATTATCGAACTTGCTCAGGAGTAGCTGCGCTGGCAGAGATGCGTGAAGTGTTTGTAAACGAGTTATTGCCGAACAAATGCTCATCAGAACTGATTACCGCAGCAGCAGCATTAGAATCGCTAGCATACTTTGCAATTGTTACTGGTGTGATGAGATTCTTCTCAACTTGAGGCATATAGAGTTGTGGATTGCTTGTATGAACACGCATATGTTCTTCAATGGAGTTCTTTCGCTTTGCAAACCAATCACAAAATACACATTTATAGTTGAGTAATCCTAGAATATCTTTCATTCCATACCAGCTTTCATCAAAAGCAAATTTTATGAACATTCATCAAAAATTTCCAAATAATTGAATTACATCAATAGATCCCTTCGAATAACTATGTGCTCCAAAAATTCTTGAATAACCCTGATGGTTATGAGAAATTTTACGATATTTTCGAACAGAATTTCTTCCCCATTTCAAATACACAACACGTAAGCTATAGTTCAGCCAAGAAATCTTTTGAACGAGTGAGCGATTACTGGAAAACTGGAAATTCAATTTGCAATGAAATGAAACAACCTTTCGGTATATCGTGGCCTTTTTTATGTGTGAGAAAAGCATCATTATCACCCTTGTAGGGGCACTTATCGCATGCACCTGATTCAAGATTAGCGTAAGTGCTGAGTACGTTCAGAAGAGAACGATTGCTATCGCAGTTTGTTGTAGAGATACCGAATGATTGAGATTGATTTAGAGTCTGAATGAGTGGCAAAAACGAATTTGCACATGATGAAGATGAATTAAACAGTCCTCGTAGCAGCTCTTCTGCGCTACTACCTTTCGACGCTCCACATACTGAGAATGCCGAATGCTCTGCAAAATCATCACCGATCATTGACTGTATCAAACGACATTCTCAATCGAGTTAGTGTTGAACTAACAGTTTTGTAAAGATCAGCACTCACATAATCAATTAATTACTTAGAGTTCACGAAACTGATTTCGATAAATTTTGAGCGAATAAACCTGAAAATTCAGCAACTGTTTAAGGGAAGAAACTCACCGTTTTGAGTTGCATAAATAGGTGCAATGTTAGCGTAAAGTGCGTTTGATGAACAAGTTGAAGAATTATCAAAGTGTTCAGTTGCATTCATTGCATCCATAAATGAACAAGCACAATTACGGCACTCATAGAAGGCAGCATTGTGAACGTTTCTCAAATGGCTCATCAACACAAGAAGCGACTCCTTAAAAAACTTTTCGATTCTCTTCATCCGTGATGTTGGATGGCGGAAGGCGATACGATTAAATGTAAAAATCAAGCTTTTTCCAGATGAAGATCACTTGGATTATTGCTCCGCAATAAAGTAATTCACTTGTAAATGCGTCATCCAAAATGACATTCAAAAGCATTCATCCTAACACCAATCGTAAATGCAACTGAATCAGATCATTCAATAGTTCAAAGTTAGTGAACTGAATTTTTGTTTGAAATAAACAATTCATTGCAATCAAAAGAGCCGAATATTCTCTCAGAAATCTTTTTGTGAGTGACGATCAATCGCTAACCTGTTCAAAAAGACATAATACACAACGATAGGCAATTGGAGCACGTTCAAGCTTGTTAATATTATCATGCTGGTGTTCTCTTTCGCTTGACAGCAAATAAGACGTCGTTTGTTTGTTGGATGGCGAAGAGTTTATTGCGGGTGGCGGTAACGGCTGAAGCATTACCAACTTGAGTATTGTCATTATCACAAAACAATCGATTCCTCAGTCGGTCTCTTTTGAATACCATAACATATTGTTATCAATCCACTCATACCATAATCAAAAATGATGTCAGAACATTTCATTGCTCAACTGTAAGAATAATATTAGCGTGCAGTATGTGAACGGTATCACTGCTGTATTATTGACGTTTGTTTTGAGTATTGTGTTGTTATCTGCTTTGGTTAAACCTATTTGAATGCTTCTTTTGAAAATGATGTTAAACTGAATGAAACTTCAAATGAAAAATATGAAAGATTTTGTTTACATCAACGTTAATGGTATACGGAAGAGGTTTTGATTGGGTTTGAAGAGCTTCTGGTTTGTTGTCTTTCAGTTCATGTAATGCTGTTGTCGACGCGTCAAATGTTTTACTGCGACTGTACTTCGAAACAACGCGAATTCCATGAGTTTCTGTAATAGTCGAACTGTCCTTTCATTTCATCGTTATGCAATCATTTCAGTCAATATTTTTAGTTAATTCCTTCGAATCATGAAACGAACGATTCGTATTTACTAAATAATCGAAATACACCAATCATTAAATATGCAACCATTAGAGCATCACAGAACTGATTTCAATTGCAAAAGAATAGCTATTCTAGTGTGCGATCATCTGTAAGATAGTGAATTCTAAATGAATACAATAATGAATGAATTACTTGCGACGTGTCTGATGAGATCGGCTTTCCATTTGCTAGTGCGTGAGCAATATTTGCATTTGAAAGGACGTTCGTTTGTGTGAACTCTCTTATGACGAATCATTTCAGATACCCATTTGCCTTGGTATCCACAAATGGAACATGTTCTTGTCGACACATCCGGATCTGTTTCAATTCGCTGCAAATTCGCATTCAAAAACTTAAGCGATCATCGTCTAGACGAGTTAACAGTGCCTGTTAAAAGCAAGTCGGGAAAAGCGAAAAACAAATGAGGATGTGTTCAACCTTCAGTTCTTGATCGTCAGAAGGTGATTCGATAGCCTCATTCTCAGTCAGATAACGTTTAATAAGTGATTCAGAAGCACCAATATCATCAGCACGTTTCGCCACCAAACCATCGAGAGTGTTTGCTGGATTCGCAATCTCTCCACGACGTCTTTTGCGTGCTTGTTGATGGGGGTGAATGTGTGAATGGCCTGTTGATGTGTGAAGGTTGACATCAATAGCATTCGTCTAAACTTATTCTCATAAGAACATCAAGAAAGCATGGTGCAGATTGTAATTAGAGCGATGGAAAGTTCCGTTAAAATATGGTTTGAATGATTTTTTCTCGAAGAATAACCCATGAAAAAATGATTGATTATTTCACAAGACAGTTTCCCTGCAGAAAGATGGAAATTTTTCTGAAATTTATTCACCCAGTTTGGAGGACAATGTGACGTCGTTGGTAGGGAAGCAAATTTGCCCATGAAGCTGCCATCAGCGGTTCTCTGAAATTGATAACGTTGAAGGAGTTTATCGCTTGAGAGAAATGTTCTTCAAAAAGGAAGCGAATCTTATCGCAATGCATATCGCTCTTACTAGCCCAAATGTTTTCATTACGAAAAATATTGAGTAGAATAGCAATAGTTACAAAGAAGAATAGGCTTGAATTGTTTTACAATAGGAACTGGCAGTTGAAAGTGACAGAAGCAGGGATTCCGTTTCAGTTACAAATGGATAACAATCACCATAGTGAACAGTTTAAACTGAAACGCTAAGGATACGATCAAACTGAATATGAAATTTATTGCTTTTTTAGAAGAACCTATTTCAAGCAGCCCTTCGTCAGAATGAAAAAACTGATGGAGGTACAACAATCGAATTTCATGATGAAAGTAAGATTGATGCAACTAATGCAAATATTGATTTGTTATTCGAAAAAGTTGGTTGCAAGAGAATGTAGCAACTCACAGAGCTTTGCTTCATTGAAATCGTTAAATGAGAATTTGAAGTGAGAGCGAGTGCAACTTTTTGATCGAGACTTTCTCTCATAACGATCACTGAAATGAAGTGAATTGCAAATGAATATCAACAAAAACGGCCCCTTTTGAACGAATTCAATAACAACATTGTATTGATATTGTTGTTGCTGTTACTGTTGCATAATGATAAGCATTATAATAAGGCGTAATAAAAATATCGTTACATAACGATGAGCATAATAATAAGGCCACAATTATCAATAGAATGACATCTCAGTGTGCTTGATCCCTACAATTATCGTATTATGATCCATGAAAAATTTCAATTCGTACAGTTGAATTCGAGTCGAAATCAATACGAAATCAGTTTATTGAAAAATGTTCATTTGCTCAGTGATCAGCAGTAGTTCAGCACAACTACTGAAGGAGAATGCACAATTGAAAGGAAAAGCTGAAATCGAGCGGTGGTATGTAGGAACAACGAAGTACGAACTTAATGTGTACTTCATCATCGAATCGCGAAAGAATGTCCTAAATGAGCTTGCAGTACACATCAGTCACTCTTGAACGAGTGCGCTCGACAAATTAAAAATGCAACTTGAAAACGTAAAATGGAACAAAAAGCTGATCGTAAAACAATATCTATAATGAAGTATCGTCAATATTTTCACAGTTATTAATGCGATAAACTGCATATTAAAGCATCAATGTTCGAATATATTGTTTCAAATGCTATCACTTGTTATATCATATTAAAATGTCACTACATATCGATAATAAATCGCAAATCATTTTGCAATAATAAATAACGACTTATTATACATAATAACAAAACCTTCATGAACGAAACCATAACTGTGAAATCGCATTCCCTATCTAATATGGTTTATCTGCTTGTCACTTAGCAATTCTGCACTACTTGCTGAAGGAATGATCTGAAGAAGACGAAGGATGTTGATTAAGGAAAACGCATTCATTCATTCACTTCACATACTCATCCTTACGTCTTTAAAGTTCATTTCTTTGAACGAATGCTGCTACTGCTGCTGATAAAAAATCGAAAATCAATTCTGATGGCAGATATTTTTACTTTTACTCTCATTTCGAAGATATTCGGCTAGTTGATCAATGATCACAAAGTACACATCTCTATGTGTAAGCGTGTATTCCAGCTATTAGAGGCAGAAGGAACACTGTGGAACTATGCATTTTTTAAATCATTTCAGCTGTTCATTCATATCAGCTTGAACAAATAAAAGTTGCGAAAATTTGCGAGTAGAAACAGTTCAGCTGAAATAAATCACTTTCACAATTTACACAGTACCATTCTTCATAATGCATATCTTTAATCATTTCTTCTCATGGGATTTTCAACTTTTTTATACTTTATACATTCAGAGAACGTGTATGCTAATGATTTTTTGTGAATTTTATGAAAGAACGTTCACTCTGAAGGCAAAAGAAGAGAAAGCACCTTAGCTGAATCTCTAAACATTTTTGGCGTCATAGTGAAACGAATTTTTGAATTTCATTATTTGATCAGTCAATATTGCGGTCCAAAAATTCATAATTTGGAGTCGGCACTGTACGACTAAAAATTCACTGAATCCATCTCGCTTCAGGCATATGAATCGAAAACATACGTTTGTTTCAGTATGATGACTGATGCAGGTAGGAATGCTTATATCGAAGTGCTTATCAGAAACGATACAAGTGGAAAGAATGCTTGAGGTCAATATTTTGTACTGATGAGTTACGCATTTGTTGACTTTATGAAAGAAGGAACGTTTCGTATTTATTTAACTTTCATTTTTCTTCTCATATCATTGACGCTCTGTCACATGCGATAAGTATAATATTTAGTTTCGCAACATCGGTTTAAACGCTTTCTCATAACGTTCTTCAGCATCAACTCATTCTATGCACGCATTTGTTACGGTTGTTGATGATCAAAAGGTTATTTTTGCTGTCATTTGAATCTTCTACGGACACTGCTGTCAGTTTTTCTCACTTTTCAATTGCCTCACTCATATCATTTTGTGTGCAAAATTTTGGGGGAAAAAAAGTTCTGAAAGAAAACAATAGTAGCCAAGAAATGTTGGATAGAAGAGTTTGTGGTACATTTGTAATCGTTGAGCATGAAGAGACTCAACGGAAGTTTGTTGATTGGTTTGGCGCATGGGACACATTGTTGGGTTTAATTGTATTTCGTTGTTCGGTTGTCGGTCGGTTGCATTCCCAGTGCAGCTCAACTCAACTCAGCTCCATTCTGTGCTAGGAGGTGCTGTGAATTTCAGAGCACATTTATAAACATGAACACAAACGCATACATCACATACACACTCAAAAAATAATGACGATTACGACGACTGTCGTGAAGCAGCACCATTTGTGTACCGAACGTTTTATGCGCTGCTGCTGCTGCTGCTGCTGACATAGAGACACTTCAACAAGAACGAGGAAGAGAGCTGAATTGAATGAAATGAAATGAATGCAAGAGAAAAAGCACAGTGGAAAGCAACTATCAAAACTTACGCCACAAACGTAACGCCAAGGTCTATTTGGCCGGTAAAGCATTCAACAGCATCTAGCTAACCTATAACCCAACAGCTCATTTCCTCTTCAATCAGTTTGTTTAACTCATCGCGCAGCAGTCTGTCTTCCAGTTCGTCCGTCTCACATCTCTTTCCAATGACCACCATCTATCTCTATGAACTGTTACCTTTGTTCAGAATGAAAATACAAACATTACCAATCCTTTCCCTATTGTCAACAATACATCCGCAAACATACAAAATACAGTTCTTAAGCTGTGCTTTATAACCAGTTTCAAATTGTGCTAGTCGATTAGCCGGGCATTTCTTGATATCTACAAGTTAGTCTTTTCAAAACACCACATAGGTTGTTCCCAACTCAGTGGTATTTTCAGAAATGACATAGTTCGGAGGAAGCAAATAGACGACAGAATGGTAAGTGTCGAAAGAGTACGATATCAGATTCATCGTAACTGCGTCTTATTCAGAATGCACTCATGTGGCAGTATTTTTGAAAAGGAACTATAAAACGAAATACGCATAATGAATTAGATAACGAATTCGGTAGTAACATATTGACTGCAGACGGAATAATGGCATTTTCCAGTGGCATTTTCCCAGGAAAAATTTTGAAGGGTTCAAGATGAAATTATGAAGAGAACTTCACTTATTTATAATCATATATGAATTCTAAAACCGATTCGGAAAGAAAAAGACATGAAAATATGAACAAGTTATGAAGAGCTAGAATTATGATCTGCGTTTTAATTACAAGATTACGAAACGATTTTAGCAGAAAATGCATCCTCATAAATTTTGATTCGATCTTTTTGCAAGTGCCAAAATCTCATATTGGCATATATGAAATAACCACCTCGCATGCTTCGAAGATGTGAAAGAGATGAAGCATAATTGAAAGTAAAGTGTTGTGGTGTGCGGGAAGGATGAATGTTCATTTGAATGTTATTATAAATATTGGTATCATCGATGAAAGTTGGCGATAAGCAATCGAAATGAACAAAGCGTAATAAATTGAAGAGGTAGTCAAGCATCGACATTGTTAAGTGCATCAAACGAGCTCGGATAAAGCATGATGTACAATTCGAGTGAATAAATTGACTGGAGATAAGGATTCAAAATGAGATTTTTGAATATAAGTTTCAATGATGTTTGAAACGTTCATTCCAGTGTTTCCTCTATATGGAATAGCGTATTATTTGATCAATGGCTGAATCATCCAGATGAACATAACCACAGAAACATTTTCATCACTTCATGTCAACCGCATATACTATTCGTAATCTGTTTACGATTGTCAATGTTTTTATGTGCATAAAATAATACTGCAAAAGAGAGATCATATTCTTCAATTGAAAAATATTATTATTGTTATTATCATTATCTGAATATCTTTTATTTGGTCATTAAATTTGCTAGTAATAACGCAAAAGTATTTCTTTGCTGTAAATAATTATGAAAGAACTAATGACCGATCATAGTTGCATTTGAATGTATGGTTTCAACCATTTGTGGTATAACAGGGAAGGAGAAGGGTGTCAAAGAGAATGGGCTATTGAATACCTATTAATAAGGTAAGGGATTAAATAGAACATAAGTGATAACGGTAATGATAATGATGGTCAGTTGATGGTAAAGTTTTGTAGGACGTATAGCAGATAGACATGCAAGTTGGTCAACTGACGGAAACGAGCAGCTTCCAATGATGCTTTTAGTTTGTGCAGGCAGGCAGCGTTTGGGGCAGTGCCGGCTGTCACCAACGGGCATCATCAGCCAGCAACGTACACGCCTCAATCACCGGTCCGTGCTAGCCCTTACCCTCTCAGTTGGTTTGCTTGTAAATGATAGAGCAGCACCAGTAAGCAGCATATGCGACCAATGCAGCAAGCAACCAAACAAAACGTCTGCAAATAGGAAACGAAACGTATATGAATTGAATTAACCAAACAGTTC